TTATATTCGTCTGTCTCACCCTGTCTCTCGCGAGACTATAATCTTGCAAATCATTCGTAGCGGAACCACCAGAAGTCAGTTGATAAGTTACTGTTTTCTCAACTGGAAACTGCTTGAAATCCACCACTGTCGCGTCTTTCTTCTGTTGCAACATAGGATGTTCATCAAAGACAACATCTCTACTGATCACGATTTTCTTCGCAATTGGATCCCAGAATTTGAATCCTTTGACACCTTTCTTGTAACCCAAAAAATTCAGTCCTTCTATTTTGCATCAAGATTGGATCTCTCATCAGCAGGTACATGCACATAAGCTGGACAACCAAAAATCCGTAAGTGATCAAAAGTAACATCGTGACCAGTCCATACATCTTCTGTAACTTTCCCAGCCAATGATGCCCTTGGCGATCTATTGATAAGGTAACACGCCATGTAACAGCCTCAGCCCATAAGTGTTTGGGAAGCCCCACATTCAACCGCAAACATCTGGCTCTTTCATTCAACGACCTATTCATCCGTTCCGCAACACCATTATGTTGTGGTGTCTTGCGCACTGTAAAATGCCTCTTGATCCCATGCTCCTTGCAGAAGTTTAGAAACTGTGAATCTGTGTACTCCGTACCATTTTCAGACCACAAACGCTTGATTTTTCATCCTATTGGTTTTCTACCTCAGCTTTCCATAGCTTGAACTTCTCAAAAACATCAGATTTCTGTTTCAAAAAATATACCCAAACTTTCCATGAAAAATCATTAATAAAGGTAACATAATACCAAGATCCACCCAAAGACGATGTCGTGGAAGGCCCTCATACATCAGAATGCACATAGTCAATAATCCCTTCAGTTGTGTGCTTCGTAGTCTTGAAACGAACTTTAGTCTACTTACCAATAACATAATACTTACAAAAGTCGAGCTTACAGCTTTTAACACCATGCAACAGATTTCTTTTATGTAATTCAGCCATATCACGTTCACTAAGATGAGCAAGACGCATATGCCACAGTTTGGTTGTGTCATCACAGGACTCAATAGAATGAACTCCACTACAACGGTACTCCCTAATAATCTGTAAATATTCCCTGCAGTCATCTTTCCTTTCATCACAGTCAAAGCTCCTTTAACAATCCGAATGGTTTCCCTATCCTCATCAGCCTTAGGGATAAAACCATTTTTGTGCAAGGTGCCCAAAGAAATCAAATTCTTCTTCAAATCTGGGATATGTCGAACACCACTCAACGTCTGAACAGAGCCATCATATATCTTAATTCTGACCTCACCAATACCAATAATATTGCAACATCGATCATCACCCAAATAAACAGAACCAGAATTAACCGACCTGTATGTCGAAAACCATTCCCTATTTGGCGTGATGCGATAAGAATGTCCAGAATCAAGAATCCACACATCCGTCAATTGAGTTGTTGAAATAGAGAGCATATCACCCTCATCGTAATCCAAATTGTCATCCTCGACCACATTCACAAACTTGGATGAGTCATCATGCTTCTCATCAGTCTTTTTTTTCAACTTCGGACAGTCTCACTTCATATGTCCCACCTCCTTGCACTTGTAACAGTGAATTGTCTTCTTGTCCCTGGATTTGGATATGGAATTCTGCTTCTCAGACCCTGTCTTCTATGGCTTCCGTCCACGGTCTCGATTACCCTTGACATATAAGCAATCAGGTTGAGAGCTTTCTCCTATATTCTTCTTTCACTGGTTGTGAGCCAACAAGGTTGCAGTAATCTCCTCAACTTTGATAGTCTCTTTCCCATATGTAAGAGTAGTCACCATGTGTTCGTAAGAGGGAGGCAACGAACACAATAAAATCATCGCTTTGTCTTCATCCTCAATTTTCACATCAAGCGAGCCAAATCAGAAACGATTTGATTGAAGACATTCACGTGTTGTGTCAAATCATGATCGTCCTGCATCTTCAGCCCATACAGCCGCTGCTTTAGATACAATTTAGTCATTAAGGATTTCGATATAAACTGCCTTTTCAACTTTTTCCAAATTTCATCTGGAGATGAAAGATGCATGATGTGATATATAACCCCGTCCGCCAAACATAATCGTATGGTTCCTTCCGCTCGTTGTTGCAATTCTTCCCAATCTTCCTCCTCCATCGACGCCAACTTTGTAGGTCGCAAAGCCTTCAGGATCCCTTGCTGCACAAACAGATCTTTCACCCTTGTTTTCCATAATCCGAAGTTACCCTGACCATCGAATTTCGCAACTTCAAATTTCTCTCCTGACATCTGATACCAATTGTTGATGAATCGGGTAAAGAAAAACGAAAGAACACAAGAATTTTAACGAGGTTCAGCAATGTGCTTACGTCCTCGGTGCCTAGGAGACGCTAGAAGTTTTATTTAATGTCTCATAGGTTTAGGTTACATCTCTATTTATAATAGATAAACCTGGTACATAATTACAAAATTATCCCTTGTATTGTAAGGACAGTTGATGTTCACTTCGCTCTCACTCTGCTCCATCCTCTGTCCTCTTTACCGGTATATTTATGAGCCATACCTAACAGATACTTTGCCTAGTGCCATCCTAAAACATATAAAAAAAACTATTATAAATACTTTCACCAGCTTTTGCAATTGATTGCTCTTAGATATTAGAGGGAACTGCAAAGGAACATTAAACCACAACCAAAATCATCAATTATTATAGCACAGTTGCTCTCCACTGGAAGAGCATTCTATAACTTAATTCATAAACACAACAGTGCGGTTACACTGAGAGAATGATTCATTTGTAATCCAACTACATTGATAATTATGCTAAATTACAGAATTTTGCAAACGTACACTGAAATGATGCTAATAACAATATTTTCAATCAGTTTAAATGGAAATAAATAAATTAACATAAACAAAGAAGGATATAAATTCAGAAATCACAAACACATGCACCTAAAGGAAGCATAAAAACATAGCAGAGTTTGAGCATACCTTGTGAATGTGAAATTTTACATCTGCAACATTTATTTATTAAATGAAGAATTATCAATGTGAAAAGAAAACAAGACATGCACAGGTTTTGAATGAGCTTTCCAATCAGATTGCACAATATCGAATAACAAAAGCAGCAATGTTTAGCAAAATTTAAAAGAAAAAATTAACAATTATTTTGTAAAAAGAAACAATGTTTAGCAAAAAATCAGAAATCGAATCATAAAACTAACCCTAAACCATATGAATTGAACAATATTGAAAAAAACCATATTTAACAGCAAAGAAAATAAATTTAAAAGAAAACAAACAATTACCTGCGAATTAAAGTTGGAGAAACCTTTGTACTACTGCAATCTGAATCAAAACAAAAAAAATAATTATAAAAATAATAAAACTATAAAGCAAAAGTATCTCAATATAGAATATAGAAAAGAATTTTCTTATTTCACCTACATGTTTATGATAGTATTTTTAACCTTAAAGGAATTCAAATACACATGCTTTTATAAAATGAAAATCAATAATAAGCAAAGCAATAATGATTCATTATGAATGAGAAAAAATCCTGCTATGAATAAGGACTATTCACTTTTATTAGAGGAAAGGTAAATTTTATTTGGAGAGAAGTTGAAAATTTACCTCCAGTATATCTAAACATAATTATTAAAAATTAAAAAATAATTTAAAAATTAATTTTAAAATATAGTTTATTAAAATAAGGAATATTCAGTTTAAATAATTATTAGAAATAATTTAAATAATTTAGATAAATATATTTATTTATATGTATTTTTAAAAGAAAAAGTCTTTTAACATATATTAAATAATTTTTTAATATATTTTAAAGAAATTTTTTTTTGGATTGAATATTAAAGAATTTTTTTATCATTAAAAAAAGTTACAATTCCTAAACTTAAAAAAATAATGGGTTCATGACTAAAGCTTCTCCAAACAGAATAAGCAAGCTAACTTCAAATTTAGCAATCTCTAATTCCTATTTTATCAAGTAAGTCACCTTTATCACAATATCATTCTCTTATTGTGATCGAAAACAACTCATTGTATAAATATATAATTTTTTCATAAACACTTTGATCAAGAGTAATATTTTATATTTTAAAATTATTGATGTTATATGTATCTAAATATACTAAAACTTTATGGATATTTCTATGATCAAGTATAAATATCTATTTTTTCCTAATTATCTACAACAAATTTTTTTATTTTTTACATTGAAAATATTGTCAATAAAACTTACATTTATGTCACTATTTGTATTCTGTGATATAAAATCTGATGTCACGGCAATCGTCACCCTAAGTGTGTCACTAAATGTCTAACGTGACGTCATATGTTTTTATCGTCATGTATTGTTAAACATATAGTGATGTTTATGTATAATGTCACTTTATTATTTATATAAAATGATGTTTTGTTATATCACTAAATAAAATAAAATTGTCACCAATCATTTTTATTATCACTAATAATAATAAAATTTTACTATATAGATGACAATAAAATATCACTAAGTGTCACTAAATGTCTAACGTGACGTCATATGTTTTTATCGTCATGTATTGTTAAACATATAGTGATGTTTATGTATAATGTCACTTTATATTTATATAAATGATGTTATCACTAAATAAAATAAAATTGTCACCAATCATTTTTATTATCACTAATAATAATAAAATTTTACTATATAGAGACAATAAAATACCATCACGATTTTTTATTTAAAATTATAAATTACCATAAAAGTATAAATATATATAAATTAAAATAAAAGTCTATTTTTTAAATATCACAATCAAAACTAAATTTTTATAAATTATAATAAATGCCAATTTTTTTTGTAAATTATAACAAATATCAAAACTTTATGTACATTACAATAAATACCATTTTTTTCTAAAATTTACAATAAACACCAAAACTTTTTATATATTCAATCAAAGGAAAAACTTCTCATAAATTACAGTAATGGCCTATACTTATTATAAATTACATTAAAAAGTCTATATTTTACAAATTAAAATAATACCCCATATTTGTTTACAAATTAAAATAAAAAGTATCCTAATTTTCCTATGAATGGCTTCGCAACTCTTGCATTTGTTACATCTCCTCTCACACCTTGGTAGCCTTGAACCTATATACGATCTCAATCTTGCCTTCTCTTCATTCACTATCTATCCAAAGTAAAAAGGGAGAAAATTCTCAAAATCCATTGTCTTTAATTATAGTACTCAGACAAAGAAATATGTGTATTTTAAGTTAACAAAATGAGAAGAGGCTTACCTGGGAAAAGCTATCAGATTTTGGATTTGATCCATCTGTAAAAACAAGGTCGGAAACAAGGAAAATACTTCAAAACCAGAACTTAAAAACAGAGAAATACAATGAAAATACAAATAACAAAACAACAAAACTAAACAGAGAAATACAAAGTAAATATATATACATAGACAAATCTGGATATTGAAAACAAGATATATTGAAAACAAGGTAGGAAGATTCTGGTGAGAAAACTAGCAAGCCTGTCACCTCAATTGTATCAGCATACATGTTACTCAAACCATCTGTGAAGGTGCAACTATTTGTTTATTTTATGCTTAAATATGCAATGGAAATATTGCTTGCTGAAGCAAGTGTCATCACTGAGTATTACTTTATATGGTCAACCAATAGTGTGACCATCTTTCTTGCATGTCTTGGCCTAACAGTGCTTCCAGTAAACATAATTGTCGGAACCTACGTCAGCAACATGTTCGAAGAAAGGTAAGTTCAAATATGAAAATAAGCATATTAACGGTCCCATTGAGCTCATGTGGACATGATGGTAAAAAATAAGCTCTGAGTTTACTGCGAATGGATGGCATACATGCTATTTAAATTTATTGCAGGCAAGTTCTGCTGGCTTCTGAAATCATGGTTTTGGTTGGCATTCTCCTAAGCTTCCATATTGGGATTCCTTACTCTGTGCCTCAGTATGTTGGCTCTGCTCTCATCACTTTTGTATCTGTGGAATTGCTGAAGGTGTGAACTTGTCACTCTTGTCGCGTGTAATGTCGTCTAGGCTTTCTCGTGAAACTTACAATGGAGGGCTTCTTTCATCATAAGCAGGAACCCTAGCTCGTGTGATTGCAGATGGAACTATAACAGTGTCTGGCTACTTGGGTGTGTCTAGGCTCTTGAATGTTACCTTAGTTCCTTCATTATTCATCTGTATCTTCTCCATTGTTGCCATCTGCGTTACTTACAATTCTCTTTACTAACACTTGTTGTATGTAATTTTTTTTGCCAATTATAGCACAAGAAGACATTTAAAAAAAAAATAAGATATATCCAGATATCAAATCTGCTAGACTGAAAACATACCCACACTAACTCATAGTACTAATTGTTCGTAAATATAAAGCACCAGACAACCACGCTTACGGTTTTCAGTAGTAACCACGTGTGCAAAACACCATAAGAAGGCCTTGAAGGTTTACAATTGACACGCCTTGGACTCTTTAACATATTGTGCACATTATCTTTATAATCATGTGGACACTGACCATTCTCCCTAGGACTTGGGGACCTCTGCTTGGTTCTGTATTCCTAGTCACCATATGGAGAACGCAGAGAAAGAGACCGTTAAACATTTCTAGATCACCTGGGAAAACGATGACTATCTTTTGCTTCAGCTGCATCTTTACCATAACGAAACTTCACAAAGCTACATATCATTACTAAGCATAATTAAAGAGTCGGGCACCTTTATTGGTACTAAAAACAAAATATCAATAAGCCATCAAAAAGATAGAAAAACAATTTCAGCAAAAGACATTATAATATCATGAAGCTCTATTCAAAGTACACTACAATCGTCAACAAAGAAACAACCAGAACAAACATAGACATATGAATAAAGGACAGATCAATGGCGTGTCCTGAGTAATAATTTTTCTTTCGGCAGATAAAACATCCTTCACCGAACCATACCATTCAAAGGAAACCCTAAGATCTTTCGGGCTAGCATCGATAGGGAGATTGCGAATGACAAAATCAAAAAGAAGAGGGAATCGGTGACGATAGGATCGGTGGTGATCACGAGGTTCATTGACGTACCTCTTTCTTGCACGTGTTGGAATCTGGCAACGACGATGAGGATTATAGCTTCTTCTCTGATTTCGATGCCTCCCAATCCCGTGAACAGAAGATAAAACCCTACCGTAGCGTAAGCCAAAACAAAATTTGAGAAAAAGGGCGAAAACACTATTCTTTATCTTCATGAATAATAGGTAGGGTTAACTGCAAGGTAGGCCATCAAATTCTTTAGGGTTAACTTTTCATAATTTTCATTTTCAACCTCTATCGTTTAATCTTTTATAATTTAGTCCATATATTTTATGTTTCTCACGTTTAACTCCAAGTATTATAAGCACACTTGACTCCCAAATTATCATGATTGTACTTCTAACGCCAATTTTATGTTTTATTCTAAAAAAAATTTGAATGTGAGATAATCTAATATAGAATAATGTCAATAAAATAAAAAACAAAAACTCTATAAATTGTATTATTTAATAAGATTGTTAGATTATCTTAAAAATTGAATTGAAGTTTTCTCTCACCTTTGGAGAAACCACGCAGCTTGGAGAAGAAGATAAGCAATTTGGATGAAATGTTGGGTGCATTTCATCTTAGTTTAAATATATTCCACTATAAATGAATATAATATTATTTAATTGAGATAAGACCACATCACCCTTAATGAATCTTCTTATTCACCATAAAACCATGACAATTCATGCTTATCATCTTCCAAAGTCAAAGATGAATTATTTTGACTTTGATTTTATGAAAATTCCCATGAATTTTCAAAAAGTGCACTTTTAGTCACTAAATTCCACTTTTCAGTTAAATCTGAAAACTTGCACATTTCCAAACCAAATTTCTCTGATCTAAAATATTAAAATAATATTTTCAACCATTTTATAACATCCTTCAAATTTTTTAAAATTCCAATTCAATCTCAATTACCGATTTCTTACCAAACTTAATATTTTCTAAATTTTTCTTTACTAAAATTCCAAATCCAAAATATGATTTCCATAAAACCCACTCTCAAGAGTAAACTGTCTGTTTATGGAATAAAATTCTATTTAGGAAATTTATCACTTAATTCCCTAAAATTTTCCAAATTTTTTACTTTGGCCACCAAACTTCAAAAGTTACATTTTGGTCACTAACAAAAATTTGGGGTATTACACGGCCCTTAGTATCGATACATGATACAGTACCGACACCAAAAATGTAATATGTAAAAATGGTCTCTATACTAGCCCCTTAGGTCTCGAAACCGGGACCTTAGTATCAATACCACTTGAAGGAGTATCGATACTACGCTTATAAACGTCATTTATTTTTTGCCTCTCATAAGCACATTATCGATGTTGTTCTTCCAGTATCGATACTATGACTCGAAAATTCTCTATTTAGGCATGAATTGAACACTCCAAACTTACCCACATTGCTATTTTGAGGTTCCCAATCATTATTAATGTTTTAAGTGATCATAAAGGGTCATAAATAAGGCTTTAAACATGTTTAAAACTCTAAAACATGGAATCTACCATAAAAATGCTCAATATCCTTCAAACCCAACTCTTAAGCTATAATACATTCTAATAACCCACATAATATATGAAAGAGTTGTATATATGTTACCTTGATTTCTTGGTTACTAGAATCATCCTCCAATCACTCAAGATGAAATTTCTCTTTTCCCCTTGCTCTTGAGCTTTCTCCCACTTCTTTCACTAATCAAAGGTAAGAAATTACTAACTCAACTAGGTGGTTGGATTAAAGTTAAAAACACTTCCTATAACATGAATACACTAAAAACAAGCTAGAATACACAGAGTCTCTTAAACCTTTCTAAAACCCATTTTTGGACACTAAGTCTAAAAATTGAGAAATGAAACTTAAATTGAATTTTGAAGGGTGGGGATTAATATTCTTACTTTGGTTTGACCAAACTAAGCTTGAAATTCTTATACCTTCACCTTGAAAATGAATAAAAAAGAGAAACGATGAAAGAAGTAGAAGAGTGTTTGGTGAGTGTTTTTGGGGGAGTGGTTACGTAAAAACATAAAATAGGGAAGGGGTTTTCAACGATAGGCTACTGATCCAATTCTCTCAAGCACCTCAAAAGGAACGTTGAAACGTGGGGTCAATTTCCCTTTACATCCAAACCGAAGATATTTCTTCCACAGAGATATCTTAAGGAATACCTTGTCACCTACAACAAACTCAATTTCATTACGTTTCAAATCCGTATATGATCCCTGCCAATCCAAAGCCTCCTTCAATCTACTCTGAATCATCCTAACCTTTTCTTCGGTTTCTCTGATAAAATCTGGTCATACTATCTTCCCCTCAATAAGCTCGGTCTAATAAAGAGGAGTTCTACACTTGCGGCCATTCAAATATTCATACGAGGCCATCTGGATGCTCGATTGATAACTATTGTTGTATGCGAACTCTACTAAAGGTAGATAGTCTTCCCAACTACCCTCAAAGTCCATAACGACACATCTAAGAATGTCCTTGAGAACCTAAATAACGTGCTCGGACAGACCATTACTCTAAGGAAAAAATGAGGTGCTAAAATGGAGTTTGTCGTCAAGGGACTTATGAGGAGCTTTCCAAAATTGAAAAGTGAATCTATGGTCTCTGTCTAAAATGGTCGATATTAAGACTTCATACAACCTCACTATCTCGTGGATATGCTAACCTCTCCAAGGTTAAATCCATCATACCTAGTAAGAAGCAAGCTGTCACAAAATCCATAGTTACTCTGTCCCACTTCCACTATAGTATCTAAATAAGCTGGAGCAATCGTGGAGGACCTCGATGTTCTACCTTGACTTGCTGGCACATCAGACAATTCGCAACAAACTCGAACACTTCACTCTTCATGCCCGACCAATAATACATTGGTCGAAGCTCTTGATACATCTTGTTGCTACTAGGGTAAACCGAAAGTGGACTACAATAGGCCTCGCAAAGGATCTTAGTATGAAACTGCTCATCCTCAGGCCACAAAAATGTTCCCTAAAGAACAACACATCTCCCTCTCACAACTTGAAATTGGGGCCCTCGCCTAGGTGGACTTGCTCCATGCAAGTCCTTAAACGACTATCTAAACTTTGCAACCTCTTGACCTTACTCACTAACTCAGGTTCTACTCGAAGTTTGCAAATAATTGCCCATCACTAGATAAACTCAAGCGTGTTAGCAAAGTCTAAGCTCTGACATTGACTTATGACTCAGCGTATCAGCTACAATATTTGCTTTCCATGGGTAGTAATTGATAACATATTCATAGTCCTTCAATAACTTAATCTATCTACGTTGCCTGAAGTTTAACTTTTTTAATGTTAGCAGATACTTCAAGCTCTTATGGTAAGTGAAGATGTGGCACTTTTCGCCAAACAGGTAGCGTCTCCAATTCTTAAGCATAAAAGCTACGACTGCAAGCTCTAAATCATGGGTGGGGTAATTTTGCTCTTGAGGTTTAAGCTTACAGGATGTATAAGCTACCACTTTTCCCTCTTACATCAACATGCATCCCAACCCGTTTAGCTAAACATCACTAAAGATGATGAAATCTTTTCCTGACTCGGGTTGGGTTATGAATGGGGCTTAGGTCAAAAGAGTTTTCAACTGTTCAAAACTACTCTTCTGTTTTTCACCCTACACAAAGGGCATACCCTTCTGAAGTAAATTCATCATTGGGGATTCTATCATTAAGAAACCCTTTATGAATCAATGGTAATAGTCGATAAACCTAAGAAACTACGCACATCAGTTACGTTTTTTGGTGATTCTCACTCTCACTCTAGTACTGCTTGGATCTTTTAAGGATTAACTCAGATGTCGTTCGTGCTCTTCCTCAGATCGCGAATACGCCAAAATATCATCAATGAATACTACCATGAACTGATCCAAGTATGGGTGGAACACTCGATTCATGAAGTCCATGAATGCAGTTGGGGCGTTGGTGAATGCAAACGATATTACTAGGAACTCATAATGACCATATATAATCCTGAATGCCGTTTTTGCTATATCTGACTCTTTAACCTTCAATTGATAATACTCGGATCTCACATCTATCTTGGAGAATACACATGCTCCCTTGAGCTAATCGAAGAAGTCATCAATTATAGAAAGGGGATAACAATTATTGATGGTCAACTTGTTTAACTAACAATAATCGACACATAACCTCATCGACATGTCTTTCTTCTTAACGACAAGAATCGACATTCCCCAAGGAGAAATACTTGGTCAGATAAAAAATTTCTTCAACAACTCTTGGATTTAAGCCTTAAACTCATTTAATTTCATTAGTACCATGTGATAGGGAGTAATGGACATAAGAGAAGACCCTGACTTTACTTCTATACCAAACTCTAACTCTCAATTTAGTACTAATCCTTGTGGAAACACATCTGGGAAGTCTCTAATGGTCCTTATATCTTCAAACTTAAACCTGTTACTCTGTTGAAAACTATATGGGCCAAAAAGGCTTAAAAACTCTGATTCAACATTTTTTGTACCTTAATGGTCGACACAAACCTTGAACCCTTAGGTTTCTCACCAAACATCACAATCTTATTCCCATCATCTTTCTTGAGTTTAAACTATCAAATTTTACATCTTAAACTTGCATCATGCTTCGAAACCAGTCTATACCCAAAATCAATCAAATTCTCTAAATGTAAGCTCCATAAGATCGACTGTAAAGGTCTCACCTTGAATCTTGATTGGGAATCTATGATGAATCTTGTCCACTATGAAATCTAATTTTAGAGGGTTAGACACTCAAACCGCTACCTCGAGGTCATCGACTGGGATATCTCTCTCCTAAACTAAGTCATAATAGATATAAAGAATGGTGGATCTTGGGTCAACAAGGTGATAATCAATATGGAAAATACTGTAAAAGTACTTGAGATCACGTCGGTGATGTCGCAATCCTCCTGAGCTCAGACTGTATACTGGAGGACGGTAACTCTAGGCTCGGTACTGACCCCAAATCGAGTTATACCTTACCAGCCTAACCAGATGCATAACTCTTACTTTTCTAGGGTCCTATACCCCTCTAAACTGACAGAGTTTACCTCTGAGTCGGGGCTGGAGTCACATCTCATACCTCTAACAATCTCTAATAAAGTGGTCAA